CAGATTCCAAACTCTCCACCATGTCCAAGACCAAAGACGCTCAGCATACAGAGAGACACGAAGCTATTGTGAAACCCAATGGTGTTATTCCTTTTCACTCACATCACGATGTGATACATCAATGTTGTCAGACTTAAATCAAATTTCATTATATGTGTAGAGGAGTAAAATGGGGACGTGACGTCAGGTGTGCCGTTCAGTGCGATGACGTCACGTCTCCTAGGAGCACACTCTTAAAGTGAGTGCTCCTAATCTCAGCTTGTTACCTGTATAAAAGACACCTGTTCACAGAAGCAATCAATCAGATTCCAAACTCTCCACCATGGCCAAGACCAAAGACGCTCAGCATACAGAGAGACACGAAGCTATTGTGAAACCCAATGGTGTTATTGCTTTTCACTCACATCACGATGTGATACATCAATGTTGTCAGACTTAAATCAAATTTCATTATTTGCATGAATGTGCTGTATCTCAATGGGGGCTTCATTGTTAAAGGTCATAAAGCAATAAATAAATCGCAAAGATCCGTGATACATTCTAGATTTTAAGCTTTCGTGACTGCAAGGATTAATATTCTTTGGTTTTTTCGGTAAAGTCACGTAGGTTAAGAATTAAAATTAATAAAAGTAAAATAAAAAATAAAATAAAAATCACGACGTTTCGGAGGCAACACAAGCTTCCGTCTTCAGGTGGAACCGTCGTGATTTTTATTTTATTTTTTATTAATTTAAATTTTTTACTTACGTGACTTTACCGAAAAAACCCAAAGATTATGACTATCTGTGATACAGTTCAAATCAATTCCATTAACACTTACAATGAAACCCAGCGACCTCAGATGGTTGAACAAAAGGCAGAAATTATATTAAAGCTCGTTAATAAATAATGCAATGAAATGGGTGGGTGGGTGTGATGATTACATTAAACTCGCCAAACGCATTGCACAAACACCGCCCCGTGCGATGTAAAAGCACACACAGACTGGGGAGTGACATCCTCTTTTTATTACACGTTTTTATTTAACTCACTCAGTCTGTTGTATCCTCCAAAAAACATCTTCTCTAATAACTCAAATTTTACCCACTTCCCAAAGTGCTATCAACTGCAAACTTGAAATGCCTACGTCATACTGATGACAACACGATATTCTATCATGAAACATCCAAAACATATTTTTAAACATTGTACACGCTTTTATGTAACTCACTCCGTCTGTTGTTGTATCCTCAAATCTTGAAACTCACTTTTAACCGTCTTCACAATGTCGTATCGACTGCAAACTTGGCGTAGGTACGTCATACCGATGACAATACTATATTCTATCATTAAACATAACTTCAACATCTCGATTTAAAGCTTTCGTGACTGCAGCAGGAATTCATCTTCTTGGTTCTTTCGGTAAAGTCACGTAGAAGGGAAGTAATAAAATAATAACAATAAAACATAATAAAATATAAAATAATAACAATAAAACATGTGTTATATAATAAAAATAAAACATGTTTTATATAATAAAAATAAAACATGTTTTATTTTTTATTATTTCATCTTCTTGGTTCTTTCGGTAAAGTCACGTAGAAGGGAAGTAATAAAATAATAACAATAAAACATAATAAAATATAAAATAATAAAAATAAAACATGTTTTATTTTTTATTATTTTATTACTTCCCTTCTACGTGACTTTACCGAAAGAACCAAGATGATGAACTTCAACATCCGCGAAGCTCCATCTCAAGATGTGAAATATTCGGTGCCCTTGGCAGCTTTGCATCCCGGGTGAGCGCGCAATCTCCGTTTCGCCCGCCCCATCAGGCGAAGTTCCAGTTGATTTTGTCGAGTCGAGAAGTCGAGAGCCCACGAGGGAGTTGCGTTTGTCGGAGCGAGCGGCGGCCCCGATGTTCCCCAAAAATACGACAGCTTTATTGAGATACCCGATAAGCTCGTCCCTAGCTACCGACAGGCCATGTGACCATTCAGAAGAACTCGCAGAGCATTACAGGACTCTTCATTTATCCACGAGATTATTACCACAGCCTCTGACCATCGAAGGGGAACCACAGTGGATAGATGTTGATTACCTCGCCTGGTGTACAGGAGGTCGTGGTTTGATCTCGACCCTGACGCATGCTGCTGTATGTTTGGAGTTTGAGTGTCTCTCATCAATCATCATGGTGGCTAGCAGATGTTGATTACCTCGCCTGGTGTACAGGAGGTCGAGGGTTTGATCTCGACCCTGACGCCTGCTGCTGTATGTTTGGAGTTTGAGTGTCTCTCATCATCATGGTGGCTAGCAGATTTGACTATCTCGCCTGGTGTACAGGAGGTTGTGGGTTCAATCCCAGACACTGAGGGATGTTGACTACCTCGCCTGGTACACAGGAGGTCGTGGGTTCAATCCCAGACACTGAGAGATGTTGACTACCTCGCCTGGTCTACAGGAGGTCGTGGGTTCAATCCCAGACACTGAGAGATGTTGACTACCTCGCCTGGTACACAGGAGGTCGTGGGTTCAATCCCAGACACTGAGAGATGTTGACTACCTCGCCTGGTCTACAGGAGGTCGTGGGTTCAATCCCAGACACTGAGAGATGTTGACTACCTCGCCTGGTACACAGGAGGTCGTGGGTTCAATCCCAGACACTGAGAGATGTAGACTACCTCGCCTGGTCTACAGGAGGTCGTGGGTTCAATCACAGACAGTGAGAGAGGTTGACTACCTCGCCTGGTCTACAGGAGGTCGTGGGTTCAATCCCAGACACTGAGAGATGTTGACTACCTCGCCTGGTCTACAGGAGGTCGTGGGTTCAATCCCAGACACTGAGAGATGTTGACTACCTCGCCTGGTCTACAGGAGGTCGTGGGTTCAATCCCAGACACTGAGAGATGTTGACTACCTCGCCTGGTCTACAGGAGGTCGTGGGTTCAATCCCAGACACTGAGAGATGTTGACTACCTCGCCTGGTCTACAGGAGGTCGTGGGTTCAATCCCAGACACTGAGAGATGTTGACTACCTCGCCTGGTCTACAGGAGGTCGTGGTTCAATCCCAGACACTGAGAGATGTTGACTACCTCGCCTGGTCTACAGGAGGTCGTGGGTTCAATCCCAGACACTGAGAGATGTTGACTACCTCGCCTGGTCTACAGGAGGGCGTGGGTTCAATCCCAGACACTGAGAGATGTTGACTACCTCGCCTGGTCTACAGGAGGTCGTGGGTTCAATCCAGACACTGGGAGATGTTGACTACCTCGCCTGGTCTACAGGAGGTCGTGGGTTCAATCCCAGACACTGAGAGATGTTGACTACCTCGCCTGGTCTACAGGAGGTCGTGGGTTCAATCCCAGACACTGAGAGATGTTGACTACCTCGCCTGGTCTACAGGAGGTCGTGGGTTCAATCCCAGACACTGAGAGATGTTGACTACCTCGCCTGGTCTACAGGAGGTCGTGGGTTCAATCCCAGACACTGAGAGATGTTGACTACCTCGCCTGGTCTACAGGAGGGTCGTGGGTTCAATCCCAGACACTGAGAGATGTTGACTACCTCGCCTGGTCTACAGGAGGTCGTGGGTTCAATCCCAGACACTGAGAGATGTTGACTACCTCGCCTGGTCTACAGGAGGTCGTGGGTTCAATCCCAGACACTGAGAGATGTTGACTACCTCGCCTGGTCTACAGGAGGTCGTGGGTTCAATCCCAGACACTGAGAGATGTTGACTACCTCGCCTGGTCTACAGGAGGTCGTGGGTTCAATCCCAGACACTGAGAGATGTTGACTACCTCGCCTGGTCTACAGGAGGTCGTGGGTTCAATCCCAGACACTGAGAGATGTTGACTACCTCGCCTGGTCTACAGGAGGTCGTGGGTTCAATCCCAGACACTGAGAGATGTTGACTACCTCGCCTGGTCTACAGGAGGTCGTGGGTTCAATCCCAGACACTGAGAGATGTTGACTACCTCGCCTGGTCTACAGGAGGTCGTGGGTTCAATCCCAGACACTGAGAGATGTTGACTACCTCGCCTGGTCTACAGGAGGTCGTGGGTTCAATCCCAGACACTGAGAGATGTTGACTACCTCGCCTGGTCTACAGGAGGTCGTGGGTTCAATCCCAGACACTGAGAGATGTTGACTACCTCGCCTGGTCTACAGGAGGTCGTGGGTTCAATCCCAGACACTGAGAGATGTTGACTACCTCGCCTGGTCTACAGGAGGTCGTGGGTTCAATCCCAGACACTGAGAGATGTTGACTACCTCGCCTGGTCTACAGGAGGTCGTGGGTTCAATCCCAGACACTGAGAGATGTTGACTACCTCGCCTGGTCTACAGGAGGTCGTGGGTTCAATCCCAGACACTGAGAGATGTTGACTACCTCGCCTGGTCTACAGGAGGTCGTGGGTTCAATCCCAGACACTGAGAGATGTTGACTACCTCGCCTGGTCTACAGGAGGTCGTGGGTTCAATCCCAGACACTGAGAGATGTTGACTACCTCGCCTGGTCTACAGGAGGTCGTGGGTTCAATCCCAGACACTGAGAGATGTTGACTACCTCGCCTGGTCTACAGGAGGTCGTGGGTTCAATCCCAAACACTGAGAGATGTTGACTCCCTCGCATGGTCTACAGGAGGTCGTGGGTTCAATCCCAGACACTGAGAGATGTTGACTACCTCGCCTGGTCTACAGGAGGTCGTGGGTTCAATCCCAGACACTGAGAGATGTTGACTACCTCGCCTGGTCTACAGGAGGTCGTGGGTTCAATCACAGACACTGAGAGATGTTGACTACCTCGCATGGTCTACAGGAGGTCGTGGGTTCAATCCCAGACACTGAGAGATGTTGACTACCTCGCCTGGTCTACAGGAGGTCGTGGGTTCAATCCCAGACACTGAGAGATGTTGACTACCTCGCCTGGTCTACAGGAGGTTCGTGGGTTCAATCCCAGACACTGAGAGATGTTGACTACCTCGCCTGGTCTACAGAGGTCGTGGGTTCAATCCCAGACACTGAGAGATGTTGACTACCTCGCCTGGTCTACAGGAGGTCGTGGGTTCAATCCCAAGACACTGAGAGATGTTGACTACCTCGCCTGGTCTACAGGAGGTCGTGGGTTCAATCCCAGACACTGAGAGATGTTGACTACCTCGCCTGGTCTACAGGAGGTCGTGGGTTCAATCCCAGACACTGAGAGATGTTGACTACCTCGCCTGGTCTACAGGAGGTCGTGGGTTCAATCCCAGACACTGAGAGATGTTGACTACCTCGCCTGATCTACAGGAGGTCGTGGGTTCAATCCCAGACACTGAGAGATGTTGACTACCTCGCCTGGTCTACAGGAGGTCGTGGGTTCAATCCCAGACACTGAGAGATGTTGACTACCTCGCCTGGTCTACAGGAGGTCGTGGGTTCAATCCCAGACACTGAGAGATGTTACTACCTCGCCTGGTCTACAGGAGGTCGTGGGTTCAATCCCAGACACTGAGAGATGTTGACTACCTCGCCTGGTACTACAGGAGGTCGTGGGTTCAATCCCAGACACTGAGAGATGTTGACTACCTCGCCTGGTCTACAGGAGGTCGTGGGTTCAATCCCAGACACTGAGAGATGTTGACTACCTCGCCTGGTCTACAGGAGGTCGTGGGTTCAATCCCAGACACTGAGAGATGTTGACTACCTCGCCTGGTCTACAGGAGGTCGTGGGTTCAATCCCAGACACTGAGAGATGTTGACTACCTCGCCTGGTCTACAGGAGGTCGTGGGTTCAATCCCAGACACTGAGAGATGTTGACTACCTCGCCTGGTCTACAGGAGGTCGTGGGTTCAATCCCAGACACTGAGAGATGTTGACTACCTCGCCTGGTCTACAGGAGGTCGTGGGTTCAATCCCAGACACTGAGAGATGTTGACTACCTCGCCTGGTCTACAGGAGGTCGTGGGTTCAATCCCAGACACTGAGAGATGTTGACTACCTCGCCTGGTCTACAGGAGGTCGTGGGTTCAATCCCAGACACTGAGAGATGTTGACTACCTCGCCTGGTCTACAGGAGGTCGTGGGTTCAATCCCAGACACTGAGAGATGTTGACTACCTCGCCTGGTCTACAGGAGGTCGTGGGTTCAATCCCAGACACTGAGAGATGTTGACTACCTCGCCTGGTCTACAGGAGGTCGTGGGTTCAATCCCAGACACTGAGAGATGTTGACTACCTCGCCTGGTCTACAGGAGGTCGTGGGTTCAATCCCAGACACTGAGAGATGTTGACTACCTCGCCTGGTCTACAGGAGGTCGTGGGTTCAATCCCAGACACTGAGAGATGTTGACTACCTCGCCTGGTCTACAGGAGGTCGTGGGTTCAATCCCAGACACTGAGAGATGTTGACTACCTCGCCTGGTCTACAGGAGGTCGTGGGTTCAATCCCAGACACTGAGAGATGTTGACTACCTCGCCTGGTCTACAGGAGGTCGTGGGTTCAATCCCAGACACTGAGAGATGTTGACTACCTCGCCTGGTCTACAGGAGGTCGTGGGTTCAATCCCAGACACTGAGAGATGTTGACTACCTCGCCTGGTCTACAGGAGGTCGTGGGTTCAATCCCAGACACTGAGAGATGTTGACTACCTCGCCTGGTCTACAGGAGGTCGTGGGTTCAATCCCAGACACTGAGAGATGTTGACTACCTCGCCTGGTCTACAGGAGGTCGTGGGTTCAATCCCAGACACTGAGAGATGTTGACTACCTCGCCTGGTCTACAGGAGGTCGTGGTTCAATCCCAGACACTGAGAGATGTTGACTACCTCGCCTGGTCTACAGGAGGTCGTGGGTTCAATCCCAGACACTGAGAGATGTTGACTACCTCGCCTGGTCTACAGGAGGTCGTGGGTTCAATCCCAGACACTGAGAGATGTTGACTACCTCGCCTGGTCTACAGGAGGTCGTGGGTTCAATCCCAGACACTGAGAGATGTTGACTACCTCGCCTGGTACGACAGGAGGTCGTGGGTTCAATCCCAGACACTGAGAGATGTTGACTACCTCGCCTGGTCTACAGGAGGTCGTGGGTTCAATCCCAGACACTGAGAGATGTTGACTACCTCGCCTGGTCTACAGGAGGTCGTGGGTTCAATCCCAGACACTGAGAGATGTTGACTACCTCGCCTGGTACGCAGGAGGTCGTGGGTTCAATCCCAGACAATGAGAGATGTTGACTACCTCGCCTGGTCTACAGGAGGTCGTGGGTTCAATCCCAGACACTGAGAGATGTTAACTACCTCGCCTGGTCTACAGGAGGTCGTGGGTTCAATCCCAGACACTGAGAGATGTTGACTACCTCGCCTGGTACACAGGAGGTCGTGGGTTCAATCCCAGACACTGAGAGATGTTGACTACCTCGCCTGGTCTACAGGAGGTCGTGGGTTCAATCCCAGACAATGAGAGATGTTGTACAGGAGGTCGTGGGTTTGATCTCGACCCTGACGACGCCTGCTGCTGTATGTTTGGAGTTTGAGTATCTCTCATCATCATGGTGGCTGGCAGATGTTGACTATCTCGCCTGGTGTACAGGAGGTCGTGGGTTTGATCTCGACCCTGACGACGCCTGCTGCTGTATGTTTGGAGTTTGAGTGTCTCTCATCATGGTGGCTAGAAGATGTTGACTATCTCGCCTGGTGTACAGGAGGTCGTGGGTTTGATCTCGACCCAGACGACGCCTGCTGCTGTATGTTTGGAGTTTGAGTGTCTCTCATCATCATGGTGGCTAGCAGATGTTGATCACCTCGCCTGGTGTACAGGAGGTCGTGGGTTTGATCTCGACCCTGACGACGCCTGCTGCTGTATGTTTGGTGTTTGAGTGTCTCTCATCATGGTGGCTAGAAGATGTTGACTATCTCGCCTGGTGTACAGGAGGTCGTGGGTTTGATCTCGACCCAGACGACGCCTGCTGCTGTATGTTTGGAGTTTGAGTGTCTCTCATCATCATGGTGGCTAGCAGATGTTGATCACCTCGCCTGGTGTACAGGAGGTCGTGGGTTTGATCTCGACCCTGACGTCGCCTGCTGCTGTATGTTTGGAGTTTGCATATTTCTCTCCCCATGGTTGTGTGGATTTTTTTCCCGGCACCCTCCGGCTTTTCCCCTCCATGTGCATTGGCCGCTGCTATAGAAGTCCACGTGACAAGCCACCTCATTCGGCGAGGTCGCTTTCGGAAAAAAGAGCTCTCTATCTCAGTGGGCCTTGCCTGGTGAAATATATAGTGAACAGTTAGTACGTCACATGACCAAGACGTACAATTCCGCAGGCTGCAATTGACAAGACCCAGGGGGTTGGCAGCCTGACGCGTCGGAGCCGCATGCGGCCCTTTAAGGACTGCTTTGTGACGTCATTCATCACGTGCATTGAGGCCCTTTAAGGGTTGCTTTGTGACGTCATTCATCACGTGCATTGAGGCTCTTTAAGGACTGCTTTGTGACAGTCATTCATCACGTGCATTGAGGTTCTTTAAGGACTGCTTTGTGACGTCATTCATCACGTGCATTGAGGTTCTTTAAGGACTGCTTTGTGACGTCATTCATCACGTGCATTGAGGTTCTTTAAGGGTTGCTTTGTGACAGTCATTCATCACGTGCATTGAGGTTCTTTAAGGACTGCTTTGTGACGTCATTCATCACGTGCATTGAGGCTCTTTAAGGACTGCTTTGTGACGTCATTCACCACGTGCATTGAGGCTCTTTAAGGACTGCTTTGTGACGTCATTCATCACGTGCATTGAGGCTCTTTAAGGGCTGCTTTGTGACAGTCATTCATCACGTGCATTGAGGCTCTTTAAAGACTGCTTTGTGACGTCATTCATCACGTGCATTGAGGCCCTTTAAGGGCTGCTTTGTGACGTCATTCATCACGTGCATTGAGGCTCTTTAAGGACTGCTTTGTGACGTCATTCATCACGTGCATTGAGGTTCTTTAAGGGTTGCTTTGTGACGTCATTCATCACGTGCATTGAGGTTCTTTAAGGGTTGCTTTGTGACGTCATTCATCACGTGCATTGAGGCCCTTTAAGGGTTGCTTTGTGACGTCATTCATCACGTGCATTGAGGTTCTTTAAGGGTTGCTTTGTGACGTCATTCATCACGTGCATTGAGGCCCTTTAAGGACTGCTTTGTGACGTCATTCATCACGTGCATTGAGGCCCTTTAAGGGTTGCTTTGTGACGTCATTCATCACGTGCATTGAGGCTCTTTAAGGACTGCTTTGTGACAGTCATTCATCACGTGCATTGAGGTTCTTTAAGGACTGCTTTGTGACGTCATTCATCACGTGCATTGAGGTTCTTTAAGGACTGCTTTGTGACGTCATTCATCACGTGCATTGAGGTTCTTTAAGGGTTGCTTTGTGACAGTCATTCATCACGTGCATTGAGGTTCTTTAAGGACTGCTTTGTGACGTCATTCATCACGTGCATTGAGGCTCTTTAAGGACTGCTTTGTGACGTCATTCACCACGTGCATTGAGGCTCTTTAAGGACTGCTTTGTGACGTCATTCATCACGTGCATTGAGGCTCTTTAAGGGCTGCTTTGTGACAGTCATTCATCACGTGCATTGAGGCTCTTTAAAGACTGCTTTGTGACGTCATTCATCACGTGCATTGAGGCCCTTTAAGGGCTGCTTTGTGACGTCATTCATCACGTGCATTGAGGCTCTTTAAGGACTGCTTTGTGACGTCATTCATCACGTGCATTGAGGTTCTTTAAGGGTTGCTTTGTGACGTCATTCATCACGTGCATTGAGGTTCTTTAAGGGTTGCTTTGTGACGTCATTCATCACGTGCATTGAGGCCCTTTAAGGGTTGCTTTGTGACGTCATTCATCACGTGCATTGAGGTTCTTTAAGGGTTGCTTTGTGACGTCATTCATCACGTGCATTGAGGCCCTTTAAGGGTTGCTTTGTGACGTCATTCATCACGTGCATTGAGGTCCTTTAAGGGTTGCTTTGTGACGTCATTCATCACGTGCATTGAGGCTCTTTAAGGACTGCTTTGTGACAGTCATTCATCACGTGCATTGAGGTTCTTTAAGGGTTGCTTTGTGACGTCATTCATCACGTGCATTGAGGCTCTTTAAGGGCTGCTTTGTGACAGTCATTCATCACGTGCATTGAGGCTCTTTAAGGGTTGCTTGTGACGTCATTCATCACGTGCATTGAGGCTCTTTAAGGACTGCTTGTGACGTCATTCATCACGTGCATTGAGGCTCTTTAAGGACTGCTTGTGACGTCATTCATCACGTGCATTGAGGCTCTTTAAGGACTGCTTGTGACGTCATTCATCACGTGCATTGAGGCTCTTTAAGGACTGCTTGTGACGTCATTCACCACGTGCATTGAGGCTCTTTAAGGGTTGCTTTGTGACGTCATTCATCACGTGCATTGAGGCTCTTTAAGGGTTGCTTTGTGACAGTCATTCATCACGTGCATTGAGGCTCTTTAAGGGTTGCTTTGTGACGTCATTCACCACGTGCATTGAGGCTCTTTAAGGACTGCTTTGTGACAGTCATTCACCACGTGCATTGAGGCTCTTTAAGGGTTGCTTTGTGACAGTCATTCATCACGTGCATTGAGGCTCTTTAAGGACTGCTTTGTGACGTCATTCATCACGTGCATTGAGGCTCTTTAAGGGTTGCTTTGTGACGTCATTCATCACGTGCATTGAGGCTCTTTAAGGGTTGCTTTGTGACAGTCATTCATCACGTGCATTGAGGCTCTTTAAGGGTTGCTTTGTGACGTCATTCATCACGTGCATTGAGGCTCTTTAAGGACTGCTTTGTGACAGTCATTCACCACGTGCATTGAGGCTCTTTAAGGACTGCTTTGTGACGTCATTCATCACGTGCATTGAGGCTCTTTAAGGGCTGCTTTGTGACAGTCATTCACCACGTGCATTGAGGCTCTTTAAGGACTGCTTTGTGACGTCATTCATCACGTGCATTGAGGCTCTTTAAGGACTGCTTTGTGACAGTCATTCACCACGTGCATTGAGGCTCTTTAAGGGTTGCTTTGTGACAGTCATTCATCACGTGCATTGAGGCTCTTTAAGGACTGCTTTGTGACAGTCATTCACCACGTGCATTGAGGCTCTTTAAGGACTGCTTTGTGACGTCATTCATCACGTGCATTGAGGCTCTTTAAAGACTGCTTTGTGACGTCATTCACCACGTGCATTGAGGCTCTTTAAGGGTTGCTTTGTGACGTCATTCACCACGTGCATTGAGGCTCTTTAAGGGCTGCTTTGTGACAGTCATTCACCACGTGCATTGAGGCTATTTAAGGACTGCTTTGTGACGTCATTCATCACGTGCATTGAGGTTCTTTAAGGACTGCTTTGTGACGTCATTCATCACGTGCATTGAGGCTCTTTAAGGGCTGCTTTGTGACGTCATTCACCACGTGCATTGAGGCTCTTTAAGGACTGCTTTGTGACGTCATTCATCACGTGCATTGAGGTACAGTTCTCGCAATCATCCATAAGTTGAGCTTTGCCGGGAGAAAAGCGCCGAGTAGTTAAGATTTGAGTTCTTGCCGAGGCAGACTTAAGTATCGCTGAAAGTTTTCCTCGACGCTTTTTCATTTTCGAGTCACTGGCAGAGTGAAGGCCTTGGAGAAGTCGTACTGCACCCAGCTAAGAGTTGTGAGCTGAGACGTGGAACAGGTGGAGATTTGAGTCGTCGCACACCGATAGAGTGCCCGAGCGACAGGCTGTAAAAGTTGTTGGTTAAGCCCAGTGACTTGACGTTGTATGTGGTGGAGAGGCCAGGGTAGAGGGGGGGGGGGTGTGGTCACGTGCTGGCTGCTGTCCGAGGCTGCTCTACAGGCAGCGTGCTGGGCCCGACACGCCGTGTTTGAATGTTGAAGCGAGATTCATCGATGTCGTCACGATTGACAATACAAAACCCTAGACAACGAGAGAGCCAGTAACAAGTCGCGATACACTTTGTGCACAATCGCAAATAATCATGAACATACATATTAGTCAAGAATATAAATCACAACAATAATACTCTTTGGTTCTTTCGGTAGTCACATAGGTATAAAATAAAATGTGTTGCGCCCGAAACAGGACTTTACTGAAAGAACCAAAGAGTATGGATTCTTGCAGTCACGAAAACTTCAAATAACAATAATAACACACACAACAAACACGTTTTTGTAATGACACATCTAACATTACATTGCACAATCAACATTTCTGAAAACTTTCGAATTTTCACAATGCAATTATTAAAATTACAATGGGTCTCTGTGGGAGTCTATGGGTCTCTGTATGATGAGTCTACGGGTCTTTGTGTCTATAGATCTTTGTGAATCTATGGGTCTCTAAATGATGAGTCTATGGGTCTCTGTGGTGAGCCTATGGGTCTCTGTATGAGTCTATGGGTCTGTGAGTATATGGGTCTCTGTATGACGAGTCTATGGCTCTGTGAGTCTATGGGTCTCTAAATGATGAGTCTATGGGTATGTGTGATTAGTCTATGGGTGTCTGCGTGATTAATCTATTGGTCTGCGTGACGAGTCTATGGATCTCTTTGTGAGTCTATGTGTCTCTAAATGATGAGTCTATGGGTATGTGTGATTAGTCTATGGGTATCTGCGTGACGAGTCTATGGGTCTCTGTATGAGTCTATGGGTCTGTGAGTGTATGGGTCTCTGTATGACGAGTCTATGGCTCTGTGAGTCTATGGGTCTCTAAATGATGAGTCTATGGGTATGTGTGATTAGTCTATGGGTGTCTGCGTGACGAGTCTATGGGTCTCTTTGTGAGTCTATGGGTCTCTAAATGACGAATCTATGGGTCTCTGTGGTGAGCCTATGGGTCTCTGTATGAGTCTATGGGTCTGTGAGTATATGGGTCTCTGTATGACGAGTCTATGGCTCTGCGTGAGTCTATGGGTCTCTGTATGAGTCTATGGGTCTCTAAATGATGAGTCTATGGGTCTCTGTGGTGAGCCTATGGGTCTCTGTATGAGTCTATGGGTCTGTGAGTATATGGGTCTCTGTATGACGAGTCTATGGGTCTCTTTGTGAGTCTATGTGTCTCTAAATGATGAGTCTATGGGTATGTGTGATTAGTCTATGGGTATCTGCGTGATGAATCTATTGGTCTGCGTGACGAGTCTATGGGTCTCTGTGTGAGTCTATGGGTCTCTATGTTACATTATACACTAGCGAGTGGGTGGGTGGCCAGCAATACGGCTGAACGCATTTGTCTCCCTAGGGGGCGATGTTTACAAACCGCACCGGGTATACAGGATATATATTTACGTGATCTATAACTCCCCCTCCCCCCCAAAAAAGGCGCACAAATGGATCCCTGGAATGTGACCAAAGTCATTTTCCATTTAAAGCTTTCGTGACTGCAGGGATTCATCTTCTTGTTTTTTTCGGTAAAGTCGTCACGTAGAAGGGAAGTAATAAAATAATAAAAATGAAACATAATAAAATAATTCTCACGACGTTTCGGCCACAACGCAAGCAGCCGTCTTCAGCTGAAGACGGCTGCTTGCGTTGTAGCTACGTGACTTTACCGAAAAAACCAAGAAGATGAGTCGTTTTCCAGTTTACTAAACGAACACATTTTTTTTTTCCCGCTAATGCCGACCAAGCTGAAATGACCCCTTTTTCAAAAGCGACGGGGTCATCACAAGTGACAATCTCGATGTTCATCATCCTGCTTCACGCCGACTCCATCCACCAGGAGGTCGCCACCTGGAGTCGAACCCTGACCTTCACGCTTCACCGTTGTCTCTTCTTCACACTTCACCATCACTCCTGGCCACGTAGCGAAGTTGTCATTTTCTTCCGGTTCTTGTTTTATGAGAGATGGACTCATGGGAGCAGTACTTTGACCATCGCAAGTAGATTTCACCCTCTCGTGGACCTTCTCATGCTTCTTTCGTTGTCCTGAATCAATAAACCCTTTTCCACACACGGTGCACTTGTAGGGCTTCTCACCCGTGTGCGTTCTCTCGTGAACTCGAAGATAGTTTGAATAGACAAATGCCTTCCCACACATAGTGCACTTGAATGACTTCTCACCTGTGTGCATTCTCTCGTGAACTCGAAGATAGTTTGAATAGATAAATGCCTTCCCACAGACGGTGCACTTGTAGGGCTTCTCACCCGTGTGCATTCTCTGGTGAACTCGAAGATAGTTTGAGTAGGCAAATGCCTTCCCACAGACGGTGCACTTGTAGGGCTTCTCACCCGTGTGCGTTCTCTCGTGATTTTGAAGAGAACTTGATTGTACAAATGCCTTCCCACACATAGTGCACTTGAATGACTTCTCACCTGTGTGCGTTCTCCGATGAATCCGAAAATAGTTTGAATAGATAAATGCCTTCCCACAGACGGTGCACTTGTAGGGCTTCTCGCCCGTGTGCGTTCTCTCGTGATTTTGAAGAGTTTCTGAACGACCAAAAGCCTTCATGCACACAGTGCACTTGTAGGGCTTCTTGCCCGTGTGCGTTCTCTCGTGAACTCGAAGATAACTTGATTGTACAAATGCCTTCCCACACATAGTGCACTTGTAGGGCTTCTCACCTGTGTGCGCTCTCCGATGAATCCGAAGATAGTTTGAATAGGCAAATGCCTTCCCACAGACGGTGCACTTGTAGGGCTTCTCACCCGTGTGTGTTCTCTCGTGATTTTGAAGAGTTTCTGAACGACCAAATGCCTTCATGCACACAGTGCACTTGTAGGGCTTCTCACCCGTGTGCGTTCTCTCGTGAACTCGAAGATAACTTGATTGTACAAATGCCTTTCCACACACACTGCACTTGTAGAGCTTCTCACCCGTGTGCGTTCTCTTGTGAATCCGAAGATAGTTTGAGTAGATAAATGCCTTCCCACAGACGGTGCACTTGTAGGGCTTCTCACCCGTGTGCGTTCTCTCGTGATTTTGAAGAGTTTCTGAACGACCAAAAGCCTTCATGCACACAGTGCACTTGTAGGGCTTCTCACCAGTGTGCGTTCTCTCGTGAACTCGACAATTTGATGAACATACAAAAGCCTTCCCACACACGGCGCACTTGAATGGCTTTTCGCCCGTGTGCGTTCTCTCATGCAGCTTCATGTGTCCAGGGCGATTCGTGCTGTAGGGACACCGATCGCATTGATGCCTTTTAGCACGGCGCTCTGTCGAGGGCTTTCTCCATGCGATCGACTCTGCAAATATACCTGACATTTAATTTGGAGCTTTCGTGACTGCAGGGATTATTCTTTGGTTCTTTCGGTAAAGTCACGTCTAGAGATAAAATAATAACTTAAATTAAATACTAGCATGCAAAAGTTTTGATTGCAACACAAGCAATCATCATCAGGTATAAATTAAATAGAAACACAAATCTAGTATACTTAGAAATGTAATGTAATACAACAGAGAGGCGGATAACATAACAGTCAACACCCTACCTATACACTACTACGCTACACTATACACTACACTATACACTACACTATACACTACTACACTACACTATACACTACACTATACACTACTACACTATACTATACACTACTACACTACACTATACACTACACTATACACTACTACACTACACTATACACTACATTATACACTACTACACTATACACTACACTATACACTACTACACTACACTATACACTACACTACACACTACACTACACTATACACTACTACAACAGAGAGTCGGATAACATAACAGTCAACACCCTACCTATACACTACTACGCTACACTATACACTACACTATACACTACTACACTACACTATACACTACACTATACTATACACTACTACACTACACTATACACTACACTATACACTACTACACTATACACTACACTATACACTACTACACTATACTATACACTACTACACTACACTATACACTACACTATACACTACTACACTACACTATACACTACATTATACACTACTACATTATACACTACACTATACACTACTACACTACACTATACACTACACACTACACTACACTATACACTACTACAACAGAGAGTCGAGTAACATAACAGTCAACACCCTACCTGGTTGATTACGTTCTTCCTGAGAATGCTAAATTTGAGAGAGAGATTTAATCTCTCTCAACCAGATAGGGTGTTGACTGTTATGTTACCCGACTCTCTGTTATATTACATTACATTTCTAAGTATACTAGATTTGTGTTTCTATTTAATTTATACCTGATGATTGCTTGCTTGTGTTGCAATCGAAACGTCGTATGCTAGTATTTAATTCAATTTAATATTTTATCTTTATACGTGACTTTACCGAAAGAACCAAAGAATTATACCTTACACACATGAAATCGACTGCAGATATACGTTACACGTTACAACATGCACACACGCACTACAGAGACAGCCCCCCCCCCCGCATCCCTCCTCCCTGGCTCCTCCCCCTTCTCACCCTACTATATAAGAGCGTGTCACTCAGAGCTCTCTGCTCACGGCAGTGATTGTGCTCTGGTTGTCCCACCTGATGACGGAAGCTTGTGTTGCCTCCGAAACGTCGCGACTTTATTATTTTCATATTCTTGGTTCTTTCGGTAAAGTCACGGAGAAAAGGAAAAAATAAAATAAAATTTTAAATATATGATAGCTTGTGTTGCAGTCGAAACGTCATGAGAATTTTAATTGTTTTATATTATTTTATTATTTCCCTTCTACGTGACTTTACCTAAAGAACCAAAGAGTATAAACCTCCAGATATTAAGAGAAAGGTATAAAAAACAGATTTTATTATAATTTGTAATAATTAAATAATAATGAAATTGTTATTATTTTTACTAATTAAAGAATTATAAAGTTATTAAGAGAAAAGTAAAAAATAAAAACATTTTATTATTTTTCTTTAATTTTGTTTTCCTTTTGTAAATATTACTGAGGGGGGGGGGGGGGGGGGCACAGAACATGTAGTCCAGGGGCCTACACAATCTTAATCCGGCCCTGCCCATGTGCAGCCTTCATTGTGTTGGGGCAGTGAGTGTGACATTGTCAGTGTGTGTGTGAGATGTCAGTGTGTGTGAGTGTGATTGTGAGATTGTGAGTGAGAGTGTGTCAGTGTGTGAGATTAGGAGTGTGAGATTGTCAGAGTGAGTGTGAGATTGTGAGTGTGTGAGAGTGAGTGAGATTGTGAGTCAGTGTGAGATTGTGAGGTAGTGTGAGTCAGTGTGAGTGAGTGTGAGATTGTGAGTGAGTGTGAGATTGTGAGTGTGTGAGAGTGAGTGAGATTGTGAGTCAGTGTGAGATTGTGAGGTAGTGTGAGTCAGTGTGAGTGAGTGTGAGATTGTGAGTGAGTGTGAGATTGTGAGTGTGTGAGAGTGAGTGAGATTGTGAGTCAGTGTGAGATTGTGAGGTAGTGTGAGTCAGTGTGAGTGAGTGTGAGATTGTGAGTGAGTGTGAGATTGTCAGTGTGTGTGAGAGTGAGTGAGAGTGTGTCAGTGTGAGTGTAAGATTGTGAGTGTGTGAGATTGTCAGAGTGAGTGTGTCAGTGTGTGAGATTGTCAGAGTGTGTGAGGGTGAGTGTGTAAGAGTGAGTGTGTAAGAGTGTGAGCGTGTGAGATAGTGAGTGAGAGTGTAAGTGTGTAAGAGTGTGTGAGCTAGTGAGTGAGCTAGTGAGTGAGATAGTGAGTGTGTGTGTGATAGTGAGTGTGTAGGAGTGAGCTAGTGATAGTGAGTGTAAGTGTGTAAGTGTGAGTAAGAGTAAGTGATAGTGAGTGTGAGTGAAAGTGGTGCCACGCACCGCTGGCGAATCGCCGAGCTGACATTTTGCACACAGACTCGTTGTGCGTGACAATTAATGTTCGTGAAAAAAATTCACAAATTTTTCACTGTTTAGGGAAAACAAATTAAATATTTAATTACCAATTGCTTAATACTGGCAGACAATCATCTGACCCATAGGTGGCAGCCATCTCAAGCCAGAGGACGAGAGGACTCTAGCCGCCACGCATATAAAGGATTTATAGTGAAAAACTTTGTTTTTACGGGTTTACTTGTTAAATCCTTTATATTAAGTTCACTTGCTTGCATGCTTGCGTGCTTGCTTGCTTACGACCGTGCAAATCTTTCGGTCGTTTTTTAACCCACTTCCCGTGATCCAATCGAGCTGACATTTTGCACACAGACTCGTTGTGCGTGACAATTAATTTTCGTGAAAAAAAAATTCACAAATTTTACACTGTTTAGGGAATTTTTTAAAAATATTTCATTAACAATTGCTTAATGGTGGCAGACAATCATCTGACCCATAGGTGGCAGCCATCTCAAGCCAGAGGACGAGAGGACTCTAGTAGCCGCCACGCATATAAAGGATTTATAGTGAAAAACTTTGTTTTTACGGGATAATTTTTTGGTGGTGAAGTCAGCAGCGGTTGTACTTGAGGAAGACTTAGCCCCTGCCGTGGGATGGCTGCGATGCTCACCGCTCGCTCAGTGCCGTCAACACATCGGGGTGGGAAACCTTTTGTGACCGTTTGAAGGAAGTTTCAGGTCGTAGAATCGGACACAGCGCCCGGTGGCTGGGGCACAGATTGCCCATCAAAAAGTTGTAGTTTTAAAAATCATCTCTCGGGGGGTCGATAAAGCGAGTACTACTTTGTGAAAAGCAAACAGAGGTTGTCCTGTATCGGTGTTTTTCACTCATTCTCATAGCGGGGGACCACTTTGGCCATGAAGGCATCATCAGTGTGGTGAGGGCCGCCACACGCTTGAAACCATTTGGGGTTTCGACAGCAGCATGATTGGGGGGGGGGGTGTGTTTTCACATTTGCGTCATGTCGCTGGTGGCCTTGCGATGAAGAAGTCTGCGGCCTATACAATACACCTACCCTGCTGCTGCTGTGGCAATGTGCACATGTCCCACCACCGACTCACAGCTCGGCAGGCACATGGTGTATCTATTGTTTTGAATTATTATTAGATGGGGCACTGCCCCAGAGGTCGCAGACGGGTTTTGTTTCCTTACCCGTACCTGGCCGCACCAGGGTCGCAAATGGATACCCGTACCCGGCCGGGTACGGGTACCCAGCCGGGTACGGGTAGCCATTCCCTACCCGTACCCTACCCGAAATGAGTGACAAATGGTTACTCACCAGTGACTCACGGCCTACCCGTACCTGGCCGCACCAGGGTCGCGAACGGCTACCCGTACTCGGTCGGGTACGGGTAGCCGTGTATCGGGTAGGGTACGGGTATCGGGTACCCGGTTGCGACCTCTGCACTGCCCCAACGCTCATTCGAGTGCAACAATCACACGCGCTTTGAACGTGGGCTGACTCACAGAGCCGCGCTGTGAGAACCCCACGGCCCCCAGTCAAAGTCGCTCCAACCACGACGCTTCGACGACAGCACGCC